AGGGGGAGCAGAGCGGCCAGGAGGGGAGCCAGCCCCAGGCAGGGCGCGCAACAGCGACCACCTCCGGACAGCTCTGCCGCAGGCGGCGGGGAGGCAGCGCGCTGGATCCCACAGTTTTCCAGAGCTGGAGCTGTGCTGGGGGGCAGGTGGGAACCTCTCCCTGGTGGGGTCCCCCGGGCAGACCATGCAGCGCCCAGCGAGATGTGGGTGCACAGTGCCATGGTGTCACCTGCCCCGCACGCCGGCCGCGCTTCCCCGGGGTCCCAGTCCCGAGGGACAGCACACTCACCAGCTCGATGCCCTGGGGAAAGGGGTTGTCCTCCCAGTCCTTCTCCGGGAAACGCTGGAGTATCTGTCCCTGTCCATCCCCACTCCCTGCAGAGACAAGAGCGGGGGGTTAGCGGGCAGGCGCCAGGTACCCAGCCGGGGTTTCAGCCTCCGGTAACGCCAGGCTGGAAGCACCGCCGGGACGCTCTGGCAGGGTCAGCCCTCCACGGACACGGGCAGCGCAGAGGAGACCCCGGCCCCTTCCACGAGCTCGGCTGTACGGCAGCGTGGGCCCTGCCAGAGGGAAAAGCTGCGACTTTCGAGAGTCAGGAGCAAACCGCTCACAAACTCGTTATCTAAAGGTACAGAACAGGCAAAGCAGAGGCGCGGCAGATCTCTGGCCAAGTTTAAGTTTCCTTCCTCGTGTTGCTAACACAAGATCACGGACACAGATTCTGAACTGTAATTCACCGCTCCTTATCTCCAACTCAACGCTTGACATTTTCCCCGAACAATGGCATCGCGCTGCTCAGTTTTACTTTTGGGTTCCCCTGGAGCTGCCATTTCCCTGGTGGCTTTTACAGCACCTGGAGCCAGCGCCGCTGCTGGGGGGAGCGCTCCCACCCACGCCTGCCCACCAGCCCACACCCACCCAAATAAACAACCCGCTCTTCATTCAATCGTGCCCTGATCTAGCTGGCCGGGCAAGCACGGGAACCGGCACGCCGGGGAGCGGGCCAGCTCTTCTGGGAGCAGCCGGCTCTTGGGGCGGCCCGAAGCAATGGCTAAAGCACCCAAAGCAATGGCTAAAGCACCCCTGGAACCCAGGTAGTTCCGGCTACGTCCATGAGTGGGCAAGGCTTGGAAGCGCTTCTGCGCTGGCCACGGCGACAAAGCTGCTCATGGTAAATCCCCACTCCAGTGGATCAAGATGGAGCCTGGGAACTGGAAACCCTGGGAAGGATGTTGCTCCTACCACAGGCTTGGCACAGCCACGAAGGCAGCGGCCCCTGGGAAGCGGGACGGTCTCAGCCCCGTGCAGAGCTGCCGGGGGGTTACTGCATCCCCTGCATCCTCCCGGGGGACGGCCGCCTCTCCTGTCCCTTAGGGTGACGCCTGCTGCCTTTGGGAGCACAAGCGCCTTCGGCCTCCCGCCGGCACAGCCGGATTTTGGCCCTGGGACTGCTGACGGGGCCAGGTAACGGGAGGAGCCTCGCCAGAAGGCGTGCACCACCGAAGGACTATTTTCGGCACCTAGCCCTGTTTTCACCGCTCTGCTCACCACCAGCCAGCCACAGCTGAATTTAGCCAAACAAGGCATCAGGAAAGATGCCACTTATAGTCTGAGGACCAAAACGGAAAGGTCAGTGCCAAGCTGCGAAGAAAATAGCATCAAGCGTTGGGTCAACCAAATCCCCTCGCCGCTGGCCTCGCCCCCGTGCTCAGACACCACCTCCCCCAGCCAGGTCCCACGCGCTGCCGACAGCATCGGTCGCCGCAAGGTGCTCACGGCCAAACACGTTGAGTAAGAGCTGCCGCCTCCGAGCGCCAACGACCCGACCCACACTTCGCAGACAGGAAAAAACCTTCTAGACAGACAGACAGGTCAGAATCGCAGTGCTTCGAGGGCCTGCCCCCGGCGAGCTCGCTCGGACCGCACCCTCCAGCAAGGAGCAAGCGTCTTCACTCGCGCTCGCAAGGGGAACGGGTCCGAGATCACCCTCGGCACGAAGGCAGGAATCACTCCAGGAGCTGTTCAGAGTGAGGGGAGGCTTGACCCCCTGGGTTTGCTCAAACACAGGCGCCGCCAGGCTATTTCGCCATCGGTGGGCTAGGTACGCCCCGATTTTAGCGGCTGTCATTAATAAGCAGCGCCTGACTTATGAATTTGGGCCAGCCAGGCTGCCAGGCACTTTCCCCAGCTGCTCCTTAGGCAGCCTGATCCTTGCCTCCCTACTTCCCATCATTCACCGCAGGCAGCATCCAAGCCGCTCCGCGG